TAAAGCATTTTCAAGGAAGTTTTTATTCATTAATTTTAAAATATATTTCTTTTAATGTTTATAGGTTTTTATATACTTCATCATACTGATCTGCAGCATCATTTATTTTCTCTCTTCATTGCTGGAATATTATTGAAGAAGAGTATGTTAAAAAGTCAAAGTACACACCATAACATTCCTGTTGGTTGTTATCACATGAAGTGAAAAACTTCAGTACTCAATGTCATTGTATCTAATCCTTAGATATACATACTTCCAAAGGACTGGCTTTAGTGCAATGTCATTACAGAGTAGTGGGTGCAGAAAGACTCCAGTCTTGCAGACCTGGCACAGATCTATGCAGAAGGACTACACATGAAGATATCCAAATTGTGCAGATGGTAGTTGCTGACAGACAGGCAACTGTAGCACAGATGCAAGCAGTGGTTATAGTCATACACTGCAAGGACAATTGTAAACAAGGATGCCTAAAGTTGGATTGTATTCCTAGATCCCATGTAGCATGTTCTGATAACTATAACTACAGAGAATAAAAATTATTCTCTGCAGTACTCACCAGTGATTTAATGGAACTACCACTGTACTGGTAGTTGATCAATTTTCAGGCCTGACCAATAGGCTGGATGTGTGGAATTTTCTATTCTACCTTATTCCTTCGTGTTTAATTCCTGAATGGGAAACCAATTTCCTTCAAAAGTCTTTCCTGTAAGCACTTCTCTGGTAATGCATTCTTATGATGAGTTACCACATTCTCTATTGTTGAAACATCTATTCCAATTAGCTGGGAATTCACCCTCAGTGGTTTATCCATTGCTTTTGACAAACCAGAAGAGGTTAGAGACTATGTTTTTGATTAAAAAAATGGCCAGGACAAATAAATTCAACTTAGAAAATTTAAGAAAATTCTTAATGTAGACAATTGTGTATTGCTTATACAGTCAAACCTGTCTATAATAGAACCTGTATATAGCAAAAACTTGTCATTAATGGAAAATTTCTTCAGTCCTGTGAATTTTTTACAAAAAGTAATGTAAATTAACCTGAATATTATCTTTGTCCGATATAATACAAATAAACAGGAAGTTTACAAGCCTAGCATGCATGAAAAAAGTCAAAAAATACAAATACGCAATATAGAATAGCAAAATACCACTACTGTATTACATGCTTTTACATGTAATTTTATTGGGATTTGAACTGTAAATTTTTGCTTATTTTTATCAACAGCTGTTTTTACTTAACATAAATATGTGATGTAATTATAAGTTGTAAAATTTAACACATTATTCTGGATATGAGATTGTATTCTTTGTTTAGACGCTTATTCTAAACCTTTTTACATCACATTTTGTTGGAATAAAATCAAGTGGAAATGTCTGCAGATAAAATGTACGCATACATCGGGGGATAAAATGTAAATTAATTGAGGGATACCTATAGTAGGTAACCTGTATATAGCGGAAACTTGTCTACTACGGAAGAGTTGTTCAGTCCGTTGGGGTTCTGTTATAGACAGGTTTGACTGTGTTAAGAATTTTTAAAAATTTTGTAGGTTTAGCTAATATGTTTTCCTTTCCTATCGATCTATATATACGCATATACCTATATGTTAACAGCTAAGTATAACATTACCATTCCCTATATACAGAATACAGTTTTGTACAGATAACATAGAACAAGTAAAGTTATGAGCCCTATCATAGGGACTAGATTAATTTTATGAGCCCACTACGGGACTAGAAAAACATACTAACTACATAACCTTAGACCACATAGTGCTCTCAGAGTGGATGAGGTTTATTTCTTTAAAATAGTGGTTCTACCTTGTCATACTCTTTGCGAATACCATCAAAAATGGTATCTCAACAATGTTTATCCTTATGCTGCAACCGTCATAAGTTCTATGAGATGTAACCGTGGATTGGCTGAAACATTAAGATGACAGCCTGATGCTCTGGGATACTAAGGGTCAAAAAACAGTTTTCCAAGGAGTGATTTGCATATATCATCACCTGGATGAACCAATAATAGACTTATTAAAAAAGGCCCTCTCAGTGAAGATGCTAAAGAAACAAAAAAAAGATTGGCCCATGCAGTACACAGATTTATCCATGTTAGAACATGTTTACAATGCATTGGTTATGCTCACTATATCACAAACTATACAAGTTATACAGGCATGGGAAGACATCTAAATACGTTGATTTAATGCCTGCCAGTTGGGCGGATCTAGGTTTTTCTAGGCCTAGGGCTTATTGAAGTCCAATGGGGCCCCATTTTTTGTTAATATTAATAATACTATAAATTATCATTAACTATTTTTTACTATACGATAATCCCATTGTTAATGAAAAAGTATTAAAAATTTATGATGATAATTCAATTTTTGTGGGCCCTCGACACTTGGGGTCCAGGGCTTAAGCCCTATTAGTCCCTATGTAGATCTGCCCCTGCTGCATGTATCATAGTGTGACACTACTGTGCACCTAGCAAGAGTGCATAGGTGCACAGTAGTGTTGCCACCTTTTCAAAATCGCTGACCCGGACCTGCCGTCCGGGTCAGGTGAGGTTTGTTCGAACAGAAGTTCCTGACGCATGCACAATGTCATCTTGCAATGCGAAGAATAACGTGCTAAATCAGTTACAGTTAGGGACTAGAGAGACTTGGGTAGGAATAACGTAAGTAACCTAAATTAAGAAAGAAGTACAGATGACAGCTCTATTGGAGATTGGAGACGTGCACCAATCGTACAAGCAAAAAAAAAAAAAATTCGACAGGTTGAGCACGAAATTCCCGGACAAAATTGATAGTTCACCCGGGCAGTGAGTCAATTCCCGGACTGTCCGGGTGAAAACCGGACGGGTGGTAACACTAGTGCACAGGGTGAGCGCACTTCTTGCCGAAACATTACCAAACAGCAATAAACTTGGCCTTACTCACTTTCTTTTCTGTCACTACTACTAGATATGACCATATACATATTTTCATGAAATTCCGTCATGGTGTGACACTCAATTTCCACCAGTAGGCTATTCATTTGAAATAATTTCAACATTAGTGATTTTGGTCTGTTAAATTCCTTCACGAACGCGGACAATATTAAAAAGATACTGTGTTAGACGAAGTAAAAGATCGTTAAAACCTCCAAACAATGGACACTTCCCACTAACGGTCATTTTTACTTTCCTGCTCTTATAGATAACAAGAGGGAAAGTATGGCGATCGGTCCAAAATGACCCCGCCTAACATTAACATTTTTGGACTCCGGGCCTTGAAACGTCGAGAAATGCCAAAAAGGGGTATTTTTCTGGGTGTCTGCGTGTGGGGGGGTACAATTTTCTTCACCCTCTCAAGCTTATAACTCCTGTGCTTTCTGGAATTTTGCAAGGAGGTTTGTATATTAGGGTGATCGGTGCTATTAAATTTTGGCGGTGAAAAGTCGACGGGGTTCTTAAACATTTTTAACTGTTTCTGCCCTGTGGGCACCAAGAGGACCTCTAATAGCAAGCCCATTATGGGTTCGGCCAGGCCCACAATGGAGCGGCCGGGTGGTGAGATACGGGCCCCGAAATATCCGGAGGACTACCATCCAAAAAATTCCTAAGGCTTTTTCGGATTCGAACCCGGGACATTGAAACCTTGACCCTCGGCCGTCCAATAATTTTAAAGTATCATCGCAACACGCAATTTTAAATATTGTCGGAAAAGTTAAGCAACTCGTCGCTGGATTTTTTTTATTATTCAGAGGTTTGACTGTGATAATAATTAACAGACATTCTTATGACAATAATCAGTGATGCAATTAATGAATATTGGTACGATGGAAATTAGTAAATAAAATAGAGGTATTCTTGATAATTTTTGTATTCTTTATTCAGTATTCTTCCTAATTATTTTCCATTGTTTAAATAGCTGCACTCTAAACTACTTAAAAGTTTGCTACTAAATTAAAATTTCGTTTACTTTTCAACTCACCCTAAAGGATATTTATATTTAGCAATAAATGTCAAAGCAAAGCTTTTCTTAGCCATTACAAAAAAGAAAATCACTTTAAATTCTCGGTAGAATACAAAAGAATACTGAATAAAGAAAAAAATCCTGCGACACGAAGAGGAATGTCGGTAAGGGGAAATTATCAACAAAAGCTGTTTTGTCACGTGGTTTTCGCCCTCCCTTTCCGATCATTATATTACAATACAGCTTTCATCCTTTGTTTTCTATTTTTAATGTTTACGCGATAAAATATCGAACGTAACAAATCATTAAAATTTTATTTCTATTTACATTTTTAAATATGAATATTTAAGAATTTACATTTATCAATGGAACGATTGACTTTCCGCGTTGTATTTCCATTCGGTTTCCAAAGATTGTGAGATGTTCATTCTTTCAACTTTATCAGTTATCAACCTGTATATGTTGCTTCTCTGCTTTGGATAATCCTTCATATTCTTATTATAGGATGTAGAATTCATCTTTAATAGTCTGGGTCGAGAAGGAAGAGGCGGAGGTTCTTCTTTATTTGAAGATCTAGACTCCGTATTATATATAATTTCTTCGTAGATGTGATGAAGTTGTCCGTCACTGACCCTAGGAATTGTTGACGATTCATCACTCTTATCATCATTGGTTGCTTTGGTTGAATTGCTATTATTTATTAATTTCCTTTCCGTTTTTGGTATCATCTTTCCAGTTTGATTGATTTTATTTCTCTCTTTCGGTACGTTTATAATGGGCCCAGTCTTTGTAACGTTTAGAGAAAGAGTCGAGTTCTTTGGAGTTGTTGGAAGATCTGAAAAAAAGTAACATATTTACGTTTAAATTTTGAAATATTAGAGACGTTGCGGTCGAAGTTTTCATCTCTCAAACGTGAACGTCAAACGTCGAGCGCCGCTTACAAGATAGCGGCGCTCGACGTTCGACGTTCACGTTTGAGAGATGAAAACTTCGGCCGCAACCTCTTAAATTTTACAATCTCTTCATTAAATTGCTATTGCAATTAAACGAATGCTTCATAAGAATTCATCCTGAAAGATTTTGTTTTACATATCGCAGCATTAAAAATAACTATTTATATCACAAAAATAAACGAATTTAAAATAGTTTAAAATTAAATATTATTAGTCAAAATAGGTGAATCATACGTCATCACATAATGGTAACTTTTGATGTGCTTTTCGGCAGCTCTGTAACAAGGATGGGACAAATGGAGCTTGACATCACTGGTCTCAAATAGACACGGTGATGATGTCAAGTCTGTAAAAAGCAATAATTTTAAAGACAAAAATAGATTTCGTGTTCTGAATTTTATATTTTTAATACAAAATAGTGATGTTAGATGTTATTTATTAATAATTTTGCGGATATGAGAGCAAGAAAATAACCTTCGTAAATGAATACCATTTCGATGAATAGGCCTATATTATATATAAAAATAAATACCGATAGTTATTTATTTTTATTTTGCCTGCTTACACATATATTTGACTTTCGACTAGTGGTTGTATAACCGTTGATTAACTTGGACTTTTACTCCTGAAGTTCTCATTCACCAGTTTCAAGTGTCATCTGACTAAACGTCACTCGAGTACCATTTTGTAAAGCTACAGATTATTTGTTATATCTGCCATTTTCCATTATTAACAAACAACAGAAAACTCGTGACTTCTAGCCTATTCTGCAAATATAAAAGAAACTAATGAACGATATTTGTCCTTTGTCACATGCGTCGTATGTTGAACATTTCTTGTTTTCAAGGAACCCAAATTAGCCCCGATTGCAACTAGCGCTATTTTGTGGGAGCGCTGATCCAATGTTAAATCATAGTTTGAAGTTTCTTACATATGTATGATGCAGTTTTTTTATAGCTTGTGACCCCTTATTTATAATCTATGGGCTCCTCTGGGTAAGCCCCTTCAGTAGTGACCCTACGCAGTATACAGTATATAACACAGTGAAGCGTCGAAAATCCTGATTCGGCCATGAAAAAAAGAACACGTACTATCAATCACGTATTTATCAATTTTAGGTAATATAAATATTTATATAATATATAAATATATTAAATAAAATGAAATTGATTTTAATTGAGCTGATAATAACAAAGTACAGTAAAATATTTTCTTGTGAAATCATATTAAAAAATAATTGTAAACAGTGCAATAATTCTGATAAAAATTAGAGTAGGTTTTATTCGTGATATTATATTAGGGAAAATATAAATTGACATATGCAAACGTAGCTATATTATACAGTATTTATAGTAAATGAAATTGAAATACATCAAATATTTCGCTTTGTTAATTATTTTTAATAGTACTTATGATTATAAATAACTCAAATATTATCATTATGCACGTATATGATAAAACAAATATAATTCAAAAAAGATAATAAACAACAAAAAGATATCTACTTGCATTTAACATTTAAAGTATGTCAATTAACAACATTTATTATTATCTTCAATAATGTTATTAAAGAAAAATATAGAAAATAAACAAAGTAAAAATGAGCCACGTATATACATAAAATAATAAAATGCATAAAAACAAAATAAATTTCTTTATTGAAGTATGATAACTTCGAAACAATTTAAAGTAAATAGGTTAGAGCAGCAGTTCTCAACCAGTGGTACACGTACCATCGGGGATACGCAAGAAGGATCCGTTAGTGCTACAAGTGTATATAAACAGAAGGTTTAGGTGGTACGCAAGTGAAAAAAAAAAAAGATTTAGAACCGCTGGTTTAGATCATGCACGTACTATTCACATGTTTAGTATAGAAACACATCAAAAACATACATGTCAAGGGCAATTGAGTCGTCAGAGATAAGAAACATTTCAATTACTTTCTGATTTTTTTGATAATACTACGATTGAAAAATAAGCCTATTAGCTTATAAGGAGCGCAAAGTATTTTATTTAATTAATTTTTTCTTGATTTTTTAATGGTGTGAATGATTTATTTGTTCTTTGTTTCTAGATATTATAAAACCAGGACTAACGCAAAACTTTATCGTTTCTTTTATATTGACAAATTCCTTCTTAGTATTTATTCAAAGTATTGGGAAAAAACCGTGTTAAAGTAATACATTTTA